CTGCAAAAACTCAAGCAGTAGACGCGATTGTAGTGATTTGCCAGTGCGATCTCATCCTTCATGAACAATAAAAGCCCCCCGTTTACTAGCTGAGCTCGTACCCATGCCGTTTTATTTCTTTCTTCCTTTTTTTTTTGGTTAATTTAAGGCAGCCGTAGGGAACATTTGCCTTACAGGCATGAAAAGAGAATTTGAAAATAGATTGTCGATGAGAATATTTAGAAATTCATTGGTTCTCAAACAAACACATGACCTCTTTATGATATTCCAAACCAAACTTAGTCTCGATGAAGAATTTCACGGCTACGCGATAATACCGCTGGACGATCCTGCTCCTCTACGATAATAAAATGAAGAAAATTAAATGAATTCGAAACCTTGCTTTCAAAACCTTGTGAACAACGCTCTTGGACCCTTTCAATAATGTTTCTTATTTTGTTTCTTACATCCAAAATGTCACGTTTCTATAATTTAAAAGATTCTTTCGTTACAAACCACATGTTGTCGCTGTGAACAGTTTTACTGCACTTTTGTCTCCAGAATCTGTGTAGTGTTTGCACAAAATACGTGTTGTTAGTGCCTCCAATATAGAACGCAGATGTACAATGGATACTTGTAACAAATTTACTTAGAAATATTTCTCAAACGTTTACTCTCTCATCATTTTTCGTCTACGTTTATTTGTGAAATTCGTCTTTGCTACGGACTTGGCAAAGTCAATGCACCGCAGTTAGCCAACTTAGCCGACTACTAACATAGTAAATTTGATTTATTCATTTTTGATAATTTTATTTCTGTCAGATAAATCCTGCTCATTCTGTTCCGACTATAACAGATGGCGATTTGATTCTAAAGGACAGTCATAGAATTCTAATTCATTTTTGGAAAAAATATCAAAAAGAAATGAATTTATGGCCGAAAGAATACAACGAACGTATGAAAGTTCTGAATATGTTGCTGGCGAAAGAAGTTCATTAAATGATATTAAAAACACCAGACGCTGTTTATTTATTAACAATCTAAGGCGATGTACATGATGGCCAGCAAGATGCCAAAGTGCTATTCGAGCTAAATTACAGCGAATATGCGAATATAATAATAATTTACCACTTAATCGCGTGTTAAATTGAGCCTTTTAAAGGGAAGGGAATTGAATTATTTATTTATTTATTTATTTATTTATTTATTCCACTTATACAAGAAACTCAACTAAAACAAAATGGCAGTAGAGTTCAATTGACTCTTAAGTAAATCTTAAAATTAATTAATAATAAAACTTAGTATAAGTACAATAAAACAAATAAGGAGGAAAAAAAAAAGAAAGAAAAAAAAAAAAAAGCATGTTCACAATTAGCATAGAGCCACACCCACAACCGATACAGGACCAAATTGCAAGTGAACCCCTAAGCCATCGCAAACATGCATAAGCTTGGCAACCGATAATTGTTAACAACAAATTAATTTTCGACTCATAATGACATATTTAAGGTTAAGTCAGTTTAAGTATGACATAGGTAAATCGCGCATATTAAGCAATATTGTTTTAATGGACTTTAAAGAGTCCGTTAATGAGAATAGATGATAGACATCATTTAGGTTCTTGCAAACAACTCTGAGCGGGTTAAACAGTTCAAAATTATATTTGCATTGACTAAGCTTTATCAACATAAAGTGCCTAGAGAAACGGTTAGGGACATTAAAGCCTATCTCACGAAGTAATGCGGGCGAGCCAATGCACCATTGCACCATTTATTAATTTGATTAAGAAGGAAACCCCAAGAACAAATCTACGTTTCTCGAGTGACGGTAAGGATAACAGAAGCAACCTATTTTCATAGGGTGGAAGAGGGGAAATCGGGTCCCAACCCAAATTCCTAAGGGCAAACAGCAAGAATTGCTTTTGTATAGATTCAATTGAATCTACGTAGCACCTATATGAAGGAGACCACACAACGGAGGCATACTCAAGTATAGGTCTAACCAAACACGTGTAAAGCCTTTTCGTAATATAAGGATCATCAAGCTCTTTGGACCACCTCTTTATAAAACCAAGCGCGGACCTAGCTTTGCTTAACGAGGACTCAATATGCAAATTGAAACGTAACGTATAATCGAATAGAACGCCTAAATCTATGAACGAATCGACGTCTTCCAACCTGTGCGAATCAATGAAGTATTGAGTACTGAACGACTTCCTTCTCAAGAAAGAAAGCTTCTTACATTTATTTAGATTTAGTTTCAGAAGATTGAGAGAGCACCATGCAACCAAATTGTTCAAGTCACATTGAAGATGATGTGATTGCGATTCTACGGAAAAAGAAGAAAACAGTTTCACATCATCAGCATACATTAAAATCTCACTGAATTTAATCACGGAGGGCAAATCATTGACGTGTAAATTAAATAAAATAGGTCCCAAGTGGCTACCTTGAGGTACGCCAGAAGTCACGGGGAATTCATCCGAGGTAATGAGGTTAAACAAAACCCTGAATGATCTACCATACAGATAAGAGCTTAACCATTCCACTAAGAAGAGAGGAAAGCCAGAGGTCTGGAGTTTAAATCTAAGAAGTCTATGAGTAACCATATCAAACGCTTTGCTAAAGTCAGTGTAAATGACATCAGTGCGAGAACCACTAGAAAAAGCCTTGAAAACATGAGAAGTAAACTCCAACAGATTGGTCACCGTAGATCTTCCCTTTCGAAAACCATGCTGGAAAGGAGAAATATACAATTTCATGGAAAAGGCTATATGCTGAGCCACAATTCGCTCGAACAGTTTAGGTAAGACACTCAACTTGGCAATGCCTCTGTAGTTCTCTACAAGTTGCCTACTACCACTTTTGTGAATAGGAATAAGGAAAGAAGTCTTCCAACACAAAGGGAAAACACCTAAATTCAAAGACTTATTAAAAATCTTTGGGATAACATCACAAAGCTCGCCAGCACAAGATATAAGTACACATGAGGGGATCCAGGTCCAGGCGAACAATTATATTTCAGAGAGCTCAATCCTTCAAAAACGTCATTTTCAGATATAACAAAGTTAGGAATTGAAATCGAATTAGAATATGGATTAGGATATGGATAATTTACCGATAAATCAAAATTGGCAGTTGAAAAGTTCTGTCGGAAGTATTCTGCAAAGAGATTTGAGGTTTCAAAATCATCCGCGGACTCGGAGCCATTAAAAGACACAAACGACGGATTTATGGAGATTTTTCTTTTGGAATTAACGAACTTGAAAAAGTATTTAGGGTTAGCAAACAAGGAGGATTTAACAAACTGAAGGTAACTGCAATAGTATTGGCGGTTGAGGGAATTAAATTTATGCCTTGCAACAGAGTAAGCGAAATAGTCGAGAGAAGAACCACTTTTCGAAAATTTTTTGAAAAGCTTGTTTTTCCTATTCTTGTAGTATTTAATTGTTTTATTAAACCACGGGGGACCCTTGCTTCGAGGAAGGGACTGCTTGATCGTAACGGATGCAGAAATAGCTTGATTTAATATATTGTAGAACGACGACAGTAAGCTATCAATGCTTCCCTCTGAGAAATCGAGCACAAAATGAGAAAGATGTGATTTTAGTATGGAAACATTGATTTTATGGAAATCATAACGTTGATATGAAAAATTTGAATTTTGAACGTTATAGAAGTTCAACGAACCAACATACTTGTAATGAAAGGAAACACCCAATGCTGGATGATATGGATCCTCAGGTAAACTAAACGGAAGACAACGATTAACGCAAAATTTGCAAAGTAGAGATCAAGAAATCTCCCATTACAATTAGGGGTACCATTGTATTGAACTAAATTATTATCAAATAATTCATTGATGAACACAACGGCTTTATCAGATTTTGAGGAAGGGATCAAACAGCCAGAACTATCACTGTAAAACCAATTGACTTGAGGCAAATTGAAGTCACCCAACGCAAGGACTATATCGGTAGGTTTAGATTGCTTGGCCACTTCACAAACGAGGGCGGCCTGTTTCTTATATACTTTAGCCTGTTTCTTTTATTTAGTATCTAATGTTTCTTTATTTTTTATTAATAAATCAATGTTTTCATATAAAATTTCTTAATTTCTTTTATTTTATAAGTTAGCTTAAAATTAAACCATCATAATTTTTAAACAAAGTCCTCGCGAAATTCCCTGTTAAAAGGCAAAGCAGAGTTTCTTGTAAAAATAGTCAAAACTGGCAGCTCTGTTAAATGGTTAAAAGCCCAACTTAACAACTTAAATGGTAACTCCATTCAACTCTGTTAAATGTCCACACTGAACAGAAAAAAACACATTCAAGTCTGTTAAAATGCAAAGCCGTCAACTCTGTTAAATAACAGACAAAACACATTCAACTCTGCAAAAATATATTCAATTCTTTTAATAGCAGTATTAGTATCTAATGTTCTTTTATTTTTTATTAATAAATCTATGTTTTCATATAAAATTTCTTAATTTCTTCAATTTTACAATATTTTTTAAAATATTGCTAGAAAAAAAATTTACTACAAAAACAACATACACAATAATTGTCTCAGCTCTTTTACCATTTATTTTAATCCCTGCAAAAGAAATGTACAATAAAGTCAGCGAAGTCTTATATTAAGTCGAATTAATTGAATTTATTTCTCAGCAAATTAAAAAAAACTTTTTTGAAACTTTTTTGGAATTTAAAATTTTTTTTTTTAATAAAATAAAATAAAAAGAAAAGTAAAACATATTTCCTATTACTGACTTTTTTAATACCTTTTTATATACGCATTATATGCAAATTTTAGTTATTAAGCATATGTTAATTTATACAAAAAACTATTCGAAAAAATAAGCTAATTCTCTGATCAACACAATTTTTCAATATATATATATACTCTTTTCTAGAAATAAATTGAATTCCACTACTATACATTTATTGTAGATGCTCCTAAATCTAATCAACCCTAAATATTGCTCTCGTTTATGTGTGTTTGTAATATTTTATGTAAATAAGTTTACAGCTGGTTAGTAAATCCCAAAGTTTACGCAGCTTTGGAAGGAAGGAGAGTTGTTAATATCAAAAGTGTCTTCTTCAAACGATTTCTAATGGCGATGTTAAGACGCTTAACCACAAGAACAACAACTACCGCAGGTGCCAACCCTCCTAGAACGCTGCAAAAATTTCAAAATTGTATTGCTTTCTTAATTCCTAGTTGGCACAATTTAACACAAAAGAAATCCACTCAAGTAGATGCAATTGATTGTTTCACCAATGAATTGGTCTTAAGAAGATGTAAGAAGTGGGAAGAACTCAAAGAAAATGTATGTCAAAGTTTAAATCAAAAGGATTCTTCAGTTTCTTGTTCCACGACAAATTTGCGAGAAAGTATGCATATGATGTCAAAAGCCATAAAAACTGATTTTGAAGCCCTGCGGTCGCCGAAACTAGTTCTTGATATACGATCACTTTCACAAGCACAGCTAGATAATTTGCTCATATCAACAGTGGAGATAAAAAACAAGTTAGATTTTCTTTATTTAGTACAACAATGTATACGATGGCAATATTTGCCTTCTAATGAGGTATTGATCGCTTCTCTCAAATATCTAAGCACTCTATCAGCAGTACAGCAGATTGAGTCTTTTTTGGAAATTTGTAAACAACAAAAACACCCTTTGTTAGAAGCGTATACAGACTTTGCTCCATTTAAAGCAATGGCTTTATGGCGCCATGGTCGATCCGATATGGCACTAACAACTTTACATCAAGGCTATGACAAGGCATTGCAAGCGTTACACCACCAAGCGTTACATGGCCACCATCAAGAACTTCTTCAACATATTCAAGGCTATGACTCCAGTAATTTAATGGCAAGTAACGGTAATGGCAAACGAATGATTCGAGCTGCTTTTCGTACAATTATTGAGGAAACCTTGATAAAGAAAAGTGAAGCGGTGTTAGTCTCGTTAATGGAAATTGCTCATGCAATATACAGTAAACACAACGATATTTTCGTAATCGCTTGCGTATGGAAACAATGTTTCGCCAGTGAGTGGTTCTGCGATCAGAAATCTGCTACAGACTTATTTGAAAGTAATGTGGACTTGCAGCAACTAGTAGCAAAAAAGTAAGAGATTTGTATTTCTTCCCTTAATGCTTACACTAGTTATAATATTTCACCCGATTCATTTTTTCAGATCTGGTTCTTTAGTTACTTCCTTTTTAAGTCACAACAATTTGGACGCGGTCCATCGCATTATAGAGTTATTTTTACAGTATAAAGAACGGGAAGCATGTTTCAATTGTCTCAGCTTACTATTTGGATATCATCGTAAATTATTTGTGAATTAATTTAAGCACTTATTTGATTATTATAAAGTTTCTTTTGACAGATCATCATAAGGACTTGCGAGCTTGTGCAGAAATTGTAAAATCGTGCAACGAACTAAGTATGCCTTTAAACGAAACGCAAAATGAACAATTTCTTTATTTATTCCTCAATCAAGAAAATAA